CACCATCAACAAGAAGACAGGCTAAGATGACCCAGGGCATCATTCCTCTAAAAAAACACCAAATAAGTAACAACATATAGACCAAAGTAGCTTTAGGAGAACTCTAGAAATCAGTTAAAAAGCAAATGCCTAACCAAGAGAAAGCTGCACTCAAAATGGTAGGAAATTTCATGTTTTCTTGTCATCCCTTGCTCTACCCCTTCCCCAGGGCAACACAACACATCAGGAGGAAGCCACCCAATGTCTACTCCTCCATTAGGGCAGAAGAAAAAGAGTAAAAGTAGCTTTCAATGTCCTGGCTTGTTAGGAAACTGAGGAACTAGTTTCTGTCTTGCCTGACTTGGGAGTAGTTAGGAATAGTGACACAGTTTGGATATCAGGTTAGGTCTCTATAAGCAGTACAGGGCCTGAGAGCAAGAGAGCTTCAGCAATAGGCTGACCTGTGGGTGCCTGAGGGCAAGAGATTATAGGCAGAGGAATACAACAGAATAGTTTAGGCTCCAAGGGGAGGCCTTAGAGAAATTAAGACACATAAAAGCAGCCTTGTTATGGGAGAACTGGAACAAAAGCACACACACATTCCCAGAAAAGGTTTGAGAAAACTCAGAGATAATTTAAGCAACTGAAACAATTAACCACAGTAGGAAATTGTAAGCCCTTGAAAAAACTTAAAATTCACTAACTGAAACAAATTAGTGAGAATGTTTGCTATCTTGAATTGGGTGATGGTTACATGAGTGTCATATGTCAAAATTCATTGAGTTGTACACTAAATTTATGCATTTGATTGTATGTACCTCAATTTAAAATAAGAAACAAAAAGTAATTTAAAATTTAAAAAGATAAAATTAATGAAACCACATTAATAAAAAATTTAAAAGTAAAGGAAGAAGGAAGGTCTCCTGTTTAAAGGAGAATATAGAAAGCTGAAACTGAAAGTAGAGTGAGTTCTAGAACTAGAAAATGATGATTTTTGCAACCACTGCAGTAAAGACTGGACCAGTTAAGAATCATAAATGCATGTTAAACCTGGGAGAAATGTTGATGAGAAGCAGGATATTTGCAAGATCTTAGCATATCTCCCTGTAGACAGCTGATTAGTTGCATAGGAGATATAAAATATAGTTGTTATACTTAGGAGAAATGGGGCAATACCTTCTTGATTGGATGTAACATTATTTATGAAAAACAGATGAACATTTATGCCCCTAGATGTGATATCTTTAGAAGGACACAATATCAGCTATACAGTACTCTGACTGAGAAATCATAACATCAAGTTAACAACCATGAGGAAACATAAGACAAATGCAAAAAAGAATGTTCAATTTTTTTAAAGAAAGGATGAAAGGAACTTCAATTACTTCAATAACATAAAAGTCAGAAAAGCTATGAAATGTTTTCAGCTAAAAGAGGTTAAAGAGACCTAAAAATTAAATGCAATTCCTGACCTTATCCTGGAGTCTGTATTGGAAATATTACTAAGGACATTATTAAGTCATACAGCACTAGAGCATATGGGTATTTCCTCATACTATTTTGTCCTACGATTTTTATAAATTTGAAATTATTTCCAGTAAAAGAAAAAAAAGGCAACCAAATGTATTACACAAAGAGGAACAAAGAATTACAGGAGATTTCTTATCAGAAACTACACAAGCCAAAAGACAATGAAATTATGGTTTTATGATGTTGAAAGAAAAAAACTATCAACTTAGAATCATATAACCAGCATAAATTATCTTCCATAAAAGAGGATAAATTAAAGATTTTTTTCAGACAAATAAAATCAAAGAGAAAGTGTTTACAGCAGACTTTAACAATAAGAAATCTTATAGGAAGGTGTTTACATACAGAAACAAAATTAGTGTCAATTAGACAAAGGACAGGAGGGAAGAGATAGACGATGTATTGTAAAGTTCTTACATTTTACATAAAGTGGTGTAATATTAGTTGAAAGTGATGAATTAAAGACATACATTGTAAATCTTAGAGCATTTACTTAAAAAAAATAAATAGGTGTAGCTAACAAGTTAGTAGTGTTGACAAAAATGAAATTTTTTTTAAACTGTCAATCTGAAAATTGATAGGAAAAAAAGATCAAAAAAGAGACCAAAAAAATCACAAAATGGTAGATTTAAACCCACACATACCTGTAACTACATTAAGAGCAAATGGGTCTAATCACTCCAGTTAAAGACAGAGATGTCAGACTGGATTTTAAAAAAACAATATCCAATTATATGTTGTCTTTAAGAAACCTATTTTGAATATAAATATATAAATATGCTAAAGGTAAAAGGATAGAAATAGATATTCAGTATAAATACTAATCAAAAGAAAGCTGAAATGGCTATATTAACATCAGAAAAAGTAGATCTCAGAACAAGGAATACAGTCAGGGATAGAAATGGATATTTTGTAATTATAAGACAATTATGAAAAAAACTGACAGAACTGAAAGGAGAAATACATTAATCCACAATTACAGTTGGAGATTTCAACAGTTCTCAGTAATTAACAAAACAAGTATATACAAAATTAGTAATGGATACAGAAGACATAAAACATCACTGACAACCAAATGACATACATAATATTTATAGAACAGTCAACCCCAAAATATTAAAATACACAGTACCTTTGAACAACACAGGTTTGAACTGCATGGGTCCCTTATACATGGATTTTTTTCAATAAACACACTGGCAAAAATTTTGAAGATTTGTGACATTTCAAAACACTTTTCTCTAACCTGCCTTGTTGTAAGAATAGAGTATATACAATATATGTAACATAAAAATATGTGTTAGTTGACTATTTATGTTATCAGTAAGGTTTGTAGTCAATAGTAGGTTATTAATAGTTGAGATTTTGGGGAGTCAAAAGTTATATGAGGATATTCAATGGCACAGGGGTTTGGTGCCCTACCCCCCACATTGTTCAAGGGTCAATTGTACATCTTTTTCAAATGTACACAGAACATTTACCAAAACAGACTATATTCTGGAACAGAAAACCAGTATTAATGCATTTAAAAGAACTGGGGTCATGCAGAGTATTTTATCTGACCAAGAGAATTAAATTATAAATCAGTAACAAAAAAGGTTCTATGTATCTGTGTATCTTAACAACTCACTCCTGGGTATTTAAATCATGTTCACATAAAGCCTGTATCAAAATGTTTACAGCGGTTCTATTAAAATTGCCAAAAACTGGAAACAATCCAAATATCCTCCATCAGGTAGATGGATAAACTGTGGTACATCCACACAGCAGAATACAGTTCAGCAATAAAAAGGAACAAACTACTGATACACACAAGTTGGATGAATTTCAAGGTATTATGCTGAGTCAAAGAAACCAGCATTAAAAGATGACATACTGTATGATTCCATCTATATGATATTCTCAGAAGGACAAAATTATAGTGACCAAGAGGAGATCAGTGATTGTCAGGATTTGGGGTGGGGAAGAGGTTAACCAAAGGGATGGCTGGGAGAGCTGTTCCTTCACTGTGGTAGATGATTACACAAATCTACACATGGGTTAAAATTCATAGAAATACACACCCAAAAAAGTCCATTCTACTATATAATTTTTAAGGTAAATAAAAAATTATAATTCTTATGGGGATAACTGGTTAAGTAAATAGGGGTTTAAAAAGTTATACTTTACCTCTTACTATACATCAAAACATATTCTAGATAAAGTAATAAGTTAAATGTAAACATGAAATAATACTGATCTTCTTAATATATATATAAAGCTCTTCCAATTAAAAGATGAACACTCTCAGAGGAAAATGGGTCAAGCCATGAAAAAACAAGAGTTAAACATAAAAATGTCTTATCTCACCAATAATCAAATAAATGAACAGTAAAGCAATGAAATAGTATTGTTCATTAATTGTGTTACAGAAAAAAAAAAAACCCAAAGGAATGATAACACCAGTATTGGTGAGGGTGGGAAAAGAAACCTAAAGAAAACTATAATTTGGTATATAACATTTCCTGAAGGTAACTGGATATATATACCAGAACCTCAAACAGGCACATACTCTTTCCACTTTCAGTAATTTACTAAGAAGCTAATTAGACTAATGCACAAAAATGTATGCAACAGCGTCATTATTTATAACAACGAAAAAGCAGAAACAATAAAGATTAAATAATTATATATGATGGAACAGTAAGCCACCATTAAAAATCAAGTCATCTGAATAGTTACTGAAATCAGATTAGCTTATTTTAGTCCTCCTGCTACAATTTTCTTCCTGGTCTCCAAAGCAAAAGTAAAAGATTTAGATTTTTGTTCAATGGTAAAACAATAATCATAGTATAATGCTAAATTTCAAAGAAATAAGATATAAAACCATATACAAGCCAAATTTTATTTTGTAAATGTATGTGTGTATACACACAGACAAATGTGTCACAGTATTCTCTCTCAAATGTAAGTTTATGGATGACTTTTTATGAATCTTTTCTGTGTTTTGCATATTTTCTATAATAAACATATGCTTATCATTTTTTTAATCAGTAAATGTTTACTTAAATCACCTAAAATAATACCCAAAAGGAGTTTTAAAACTTGTTTTCTAATCTAGATTATCTGCTATTATCCTGGTCATAAGCATTTCACTGTTACATAAGAATGATAAATCTATATGCAAATTTGTTACTGATCCCAAGTAAACCATAACTTCCCAAAGGTGTAAGATCTGCAGATAATGCCATCTTGTTAATACTGTCACCCACAAGATGCAGAATAGTGTGTATACTGGGATGATCTTTTTGTGTCCTGAAATTTTTAAAGAATATTTCAGTAATATATAGAGATTTATGTGCTGATATGTCTATACTTCTTTTTCCAGTTCAGAATTAAAAGAAATCATCAGAAATGGTTACCTTTTTTGGGGGAAAATAGATTTATATCTTTCTGAGCCATTTTTATATTCTTCATTTTGAACTTTTTGTTTTGTTTTGTTTGCTGCTTACCATTGAGCACTTCTCCAGTACTTCCTCCTGGAACTTCAGGAATCGCTCTTGAACCTCAACTTCATTGAGGAAAAAGGCAAGGAAGTGAGTAAAGGGCTGCTTTCTTCTAAAAGTGAGCAGAAGAACATCAATCCTAGTTCGGGCCGAAATTACACCACTTCGATGCTGGCCAGTGATTACTGCAAGTAAAAAAAGTGTGGGTTAACATACTCATGGACCATAAATGCTTGTAAGAAAAGTGCCTTCTTGATACTGTCATCTCTGGAGAGCTAAACAGTCCTGAAGGTGTACATAATTCTGAACAGGGGACAGTACCAAGTATCAGAAAGTTAACTAACATATTCAATCTCAGCAGAATAAGTTTTAAAAACCAGAATATTTTAAGACCAGCTAATGAAGTACAAAAGTGAATTAGAAGCTCAAAGCAAACCCTCCAATGGGAATGTAAAATGGTGCAGAAGCTATAGAAAAGTTTGGCTGGCCCTTAACAAGTTAAGAAGAGAACCACCATGTGACCAGCAATTCCACACCTAGATAAACACCCAAAAGAAGTAGATATTCAAGAAAAACGTGGACACAAATGTTCACAGCAGGTTTATTCATAATACCAAAGATGGAAACAACACAAATGTCCATCAACTGATAAATGGATGAACAAAATGTGGTTATCTCCATACAATGAAATATTACTCAGCCAATAAAAGGAACGAAGTACTGATACATGCAAAAATACAGATGAATCTTAAAAACATTATGCTAGATGAAAGACACCAGACACAAAAGACCACACACCATGTTTCTATTTATAGGAAATGTCCAGAACAGGCAAATTCAGAGAGATAGAAAACAGACTAGTGGAAGCCAAGGACTGGGGGGAGGGAGGAATGGGGAGTGACTGCATACTGGGTAGGGGGTTTCCTATTGGGGTGATAAAAGTCTTCTGGATGTAGATAATACTCATAGTTGTACAACATCATAAATGTACTAAATGCCACAAAATTCAACACTTAAAAATGGTCAAAATGGTAAAATTTATGTTGTATATATTTTGCAATTTTTTTAAAGAAGAGCAAAGAAATTCAAATGACAATAAAAAATTAAGAGTAAAAAACAGAATTTTCTGTCATGTGAATTCTACTTCAATTAAAAAAATATTGTGGCAAAAATTATTACTGATTTCAGGCGGACCCAAGATGGGGGCAGATCAGAGGACACAGGACAACATTCAGACCACATCCACACCTGGGAGAACCCAGTGCCTCGCGAAGGGGATAAGATACAAGCCCCGGCCCAGCGGGAACCGAGCGCCCCTCCCCCCAGCTCCC